AATATTCCTATAGAGAAAATTATTTTTTAAAAAACTTTATTTTTAAAAAGTAAATATTATCCAACGAGAAATGAATCATCGAATCAATAAATATGATGATTTTAATATCAATTTGATATTGATTCGACATTTAATTTCGATCATTTCTTGTTGGATAATTAACAATTTATTCATAACATAGATTATGTTTCTTAAAATTATATATGCTAACAAGATGTGTATGAATTATACAAAATATATCATCTGAAAAATAAGCGAAAATTGAAATTGTATTGTTTGAATGCTCAAAAAATATTCATAGACGAAAAATTTAGTTTTTATAATTAGAGATACTTGCGAAGCTCATTTGTTTATTAGAACAGAATATATTGTATAAAATTGATAATTAATATTTATTTTCTACAAATAAGATTTTTTTTTTATAACAAATTTCCTTGTATGAATACTTTCTGCTCTTACCGTGTCATTTTATCCTTGTTGTTCATGAATTTTAAAAGAAGATAAAACGATTTAGACAAGGATGAAACGGAATGCATTCGTAGGTCGCGAACTAAGGGCACGATATAAACATAGCCATTAAGTCTGTTTTTTTATTGCTGCACTCTGAACAAATGTATATTTGTTTCATTTCAACTTACTGGGTGTACTAGTTCAGAAAGTACAGCAATAAAAAACAGACCTACTGATTATAGGACAAAGAGATCCAAGATCCTCTTGCAGCAAATTAACACGTTAAAAAATTACTAGACTCGTACGACAAAAAATGGATATATTTAATATTGGCCTTAAAATATTAGTTCCTGCCTTTCGTAAATAATTGGAGATCAATATGATCAAAGATTTGGTAATAGTAATAGTATACGAAAGAGAAAAGAAAAACAGACATATAAAAAATGATAATACTTATCTCCGAGCACTGGATGTGCCTACAATAACTCCCGTGCCATACGAATGCCCAAGAATAAGAAGATTCGCAATAAATAAGATACACAGAAATTATATGAATTAAAAATAGAAATGAACGTTTGAAACCGGCCGCAGACAATACAATACCTGACCGGAGCAGATACACGTATACTAAATGACCACACTACAGAGTTCATGGCCGCATCGCCGCAATGAATAAATTACGTGTTTTTCTGACGCATGCGCAAGAATACAATAACATTAAGGCATCTTCATATGGCAGCATCGAGCGTCGAACATCGTGATCTTGATAGTGCAGTCCTATAGAGCCAGTTCTACATAATTGCAAGCCAAGCAAGTTTGTTGCGACAGCCAATATGAAGCGTTGATTTCAAAATGCAAGCTTTAGGAGTCGATTCTGAGTTTTCAAATAAAATGAAAATTACAAAAAAAGTGAGCAAATTTACTAAGTGTTGACCAATTAAATAATCACTATTCTAATAAATTAGCTCACTTTTATAATTTTCATCTCATTTCAAGATATAGAATCACTTCCCTGATCAATTGCAAGTCTTCTCATAAAACTTTCATTATATCTACTAGAATAGCATTTGTTATTGGCTCGCATTGATAGCGCATTCGCAAATTCCGCTCAATGGGACACAGGAAAATAAATTCCTGCGGATCGGAAATCACACATATGTACAGGGACATTGTCGATATCGTTTTGTATACTCATTTTGATTTATACTTTCGTCTTTCTGTATACTGTTTATACAACATTCGTATTCTAACCATATTGTCCTAGTTTACATCGTGCATTGATACGGATACTAACTAATAACTTTCTATCAAATGATCTTAATTTCAGTGGTGCGTGTAAATATATATATATACAATATGTGTATTTAATTAATTTTGATGCATATTGTATCAATTGAGTACATCATTCTTTGAATACATCACTGAAATTAAAATAATTTAATAGAAAGTTACTAATTAATACATGTATCAAATGCACGTAGGATATAAATTAAACAACTAACCTCTGTATTTGTCTAGAGACTTAATGAAGTATCTTCAGGGTTATGTTCAGATTACCATCCAATTTACCACCCGAATGCCACCCAGGCACAGTATAAGGTTTGTTGTATACTCCAACATGCTCCAACGTGTTGCTATTATAGCTCCTACTCACTCTAAGGGTATATCTACACAATTTGCAAATTGCTTAAACGTATGCATAAAGAAAATTATCCAATCGCATTTCTCCTATAAAGATGCACGTGAAATGTGATTGAATAATTTTCTTTATGCATAAGAGTTTGTGTAGATATATCATAAGAGCCGCGATACAGACTTTTGCGAAACACATAACATATAATACATAAGCGAGTAAACCAATCAAAATCTTTTCTTTCCTCTTACTTCATGGAAAAGGAAAATTTTAATTGGATGATTCTCTTATGCACTATACATTATGCGTTATGCATAAGTCTGTGCCCCCAGTCTAAGGCCGCGTTCACACCTTAATGGAAAAACGGAAAGCGGAAAAGCGGAGGCCAATCGGAACTCGCAGTAGTAGTAGACGGTACATTTCGCTTGTCTGTTCTGTCTTTCCGCGAGTTCTGATTGGCTTTCGCTTTTCCACTTTCTGCTTTTCCATCAAGGTGTGAATCCGGCCTAACGAGCGCATGAGTGAGTAGGAACTATAGTTGAAAGAAATAGGAGCATATTGGAGCATGCGATACAAATAAACCTTAATTGACCTATTCCGTTAGATCGAAAAATATAAACCAAATAGAGAGCTCACTGAGCGTTCCACTGAGCTCTTGCATCTAATCATATTCCAATAAATTCAAAAATATAGATCAAATAAGTTTAAGAGCTTAATGAGCTTAGTAAGCGATTCAATTTTTCCCCGCAAGGCACGATAGCACTAAAATCAGCAGATCCCAATTCTCCATGGATTTTCTGATATTTACTATGTTTCGAATCCACTTTTTTTCGTGATCGCTTGAGTTTGATTTCCTTCTTATTACTCCGTGCTTTCCACTACGAGATTAGCCTTCCTGAAATTTAGTTAATGTTCATAGATTTATAAAATAGACGGAGCGTTTATACGAGAGAAGCTGAAGACAACATTGAAGGATAACTCTACTCCAGACATAGTTGTTTTTCTCTTTTATAGTGAGCAGTGGAGAGGGCCAATCAGCTTGATCGTAAAGCCACAACTCTCGAACGTCTATCTTCGTTGCTTTCGGCCACTTCCCAGCTTGTCGCGGCGATCAATTCATCACTAGAAAAAAAAGAACTACTCTGCGATTATTTTTTTCTCTTTCTAATCTTCAGCTTCTCTCGTATGAATGCTACGTCTATCTTATAAGTCTATTAATGTTCCAACTTTTTTTGAGTAAGTATGTAAAGCTGGAAACAATAAAAAGCACAGGCAATAGGAACAGTCAATAAAAGATTTCAACTTATCAGAAACCATGACATGTAAATAATAGAATGAAAATTTTATATTTCATGAGAGCATATAAAAATATTTTGTATTTTATTATTAATGTTTAAAGATTGAGAATATTTTGTATTTCAAATATTGATATTAGCAATCAATCTCATTATTTTAATTATAAAATACATAGAATTAGTATACAATAAGGGCTTTTCGAGCTTAGTAAGATAACATATGTTATAACTAAACTGTTTTATTAACCTTCATATAAACAATATTTCAAATGTTTCGATCTTTTTTCAACAATCCTCTTCAGTAAATGTTACATATTATTACATATTTCATAATTCTAAGATTGTTCTAAGATGATTCTTGTTTGACAAATATTTTCGATAGAAGCGACATTCGAGAATTTTATAGTTGGATAACTATGCACATGTTGATTAACGTTGTGATGTGAACATTATTGTATTAAACTCTCCGATTTATCGGTTCTTCCATCAAAATTATGTGACATTTCGTACACTCCATATTCCATCAATGTTGTTTACGAAATGTCACGACAATTTTGATAAAAGAACCAATAAATCGTTCATATCACAATGATAATTATTATGTATATGGTTATCCAACTATAATTCTCGAATGTCGTTTCTATCGAAAATATTGTAAAATTTTGTCAAACAGGAATCGTACTAGGACAATTTGAGTTCATGGACATCAGGACTATTAAATAATCAAGTTCACTAAATGCTTATAGAATATGTAATAATTTATACACGATAAATAATATGTAAATTTTGTAATATTCATCGAAAAGGACTGTTAAAAAAAGGTCGAAATGTTTGAAATATGTTTGTTGAAATATATGAAAATTAATAAAACAATTTAATTATAGCATACATTACCTTGCTAGACTCAAAAAGCCCTTATTGTATACTAATTGAATTATATTCATATTGAGCCATAATATATATTTTCTTAATTTTGTAAAATACATAAAACTAAATCTTTTAATTTTAAATACAAAATATAAAACACTTGTATTGAAAAAACTGTGTTTTAAATAAAAGTATTTCAAATACATGCCCCAGCCCTATATGATTTGATTATTGAACAATGCATAAAGCTTACAAAATAGAATTTATTATAACAGTCTATATATTTCTTATAAGACAATCCATATTTATATATTCAATATAGATAAGAAAATATGAATTTAGAGTCTTATCGTAACAGCACAATATGATAATGATGTTCACAGAACATAATTATTAAAGGAAAACGTACTGAGAACCGACATAGTTGAATGTAATTTAAATATTACACACATACACACGTGCACAGAGGGTGAATCAGTTGTTGAATCATCTTTTTACCCTATGAAAAAATGATCGACTTTAAACCTAATTGAATTATAACATATGCAAGAAAATTATTTTCTCATAGGATAAAAAGCATTCACTCTGATTCATCAATATTCATGTATATCAATCGCCAACATCAATTATAGATATTTCGATAAGATTAGATCACCCTTGGTACGCAAGTAACAAAAATTGGAGTCTATGTAGAAATTAATATGTTGGAAAAAGATAGATGAATAAGGTGTACAATTATTGAATCAATTGTTAGGCTATTTTCCAAAATTACAAATTTCAATTGTCGTCTATTATATTTAGCTGGATACTCAAACCAAAATTTCGTAATATAAATTGAACTCAGCATAAGAATGATCCATTATAACGCGTGATTATTATATTTGTGTCTTGAGAGTATGTGGATAGTTAATCATATTTTTCTAAAAAGGGATTGATAATTGCTGCTGTATCTTTTGGATGTGTGAGATGAAGATGATGTGTTGCTGACAGAATCTCAAATTGTACTGTGTCATTAGTTGCTCTCATTATTTCCAGCGTCTTATAAAAGAGTTCTCTGTCCTCACCATAAAAATTAATGTCTCCTTTGATTATTAAATATGGGCATGTTATAAACTTTGCGTACTCTTCTACTTGCTCTGACGAAACCATATTATGGATGGGTATAACTCGCATTCTAGGATCTCTATTTACAACATACATTCCATCCTCTTTTTGCATAACACCTCTAGTCATAAGTATTTTAGTTGATGATTCATCTAAATTTAACATATATAGTCCTGTAGATATCTTCTTCATAATCTCACTTTGCGTATAACTTGGTTGAACATAATCTTCCTCAAGTTTAAAAAACGCATCAACTGCATTTCTAAATATAGGAGTATGTATGCTTGTACTAATAGATACAAATTTGAAAAAATCCAAAGCTATAACATATTGTAGCTCCATTGGAAAAGTCGCAGCATACCAATATATTGTCATTGCATTTAAGGAATGCGCCATTACTTTTATTTTTTCCCATCCAAAATATCTTTTAATTCTTTTGATTAACAAAAAGTATATCAATTCACTATACATAAATCCTGGTGGTAACCATGAAGATAGACCATGTCCAGGTAAATCAATTGCCAGAACAGGTACATTTTTCATAATAAATGGTGCTATGTTATCAAATGACGCAGCATTATCTTGCCAACCATGCAAAGCCAGGATAGGTTGTTTATTTTGCGATCCCCATAATTTACCTAAAATAAAATTTTTGTTATAATATAAATCATGCTTACAGAAAAAAATTGTACATACCAGCCACTTTGCCCCAAGGTACTGGAATTTCTATTTCCTTAACTTCATGCTGTGTAGATTTACTGTATGGTTTCATTAACTGTATATAAGAGGTTGTTCTCAAACCATGAATTACAAATTGTTTAAACATTATATTAAAATATATATATATATATACATATATAAATAAATAAATATATGTATATATAACACACAAGTAAATACCAAAATTCTATAAACTTTTGTAATAATATTACATATAATATTTTGTACTGTTTATACAATATCAATATCTTATCTTAAACTGATGAACGGTAAGATTTTGAAGCTGGTATTTATAAGTTCTAGGAATAGGAAATTATCGATCGATGATTTAAGAATCGATGCTTTCGTACAAATAATCGATTATTTGTCCAACGTTTTGAATGAGACATGTTTTTGAAAAGTGGAGAAGATAAAGGCTAACCTTAAGATATGAACTTAAGTCGATGAGCTAATCAGGATATTACTTTAAATCTATGTATTCTAAGGCTGGAATCAAACTATGCATTAAAGATTCAGATTGATGATTAAAGATTGAAATTTCACCAATAAAAAGAAAGAAATTTTGGCTCCTTTTCTAATTGATCGAACTTCAATCTTTCAATTTTCAATTCTCATTCTTCAATGTGTAGTCTGATTCCGGCCTAAATTTCCGGCTGGCTCTACATTTAATCACTGCTATTTTGTTAAGCCAATTCTACAGAATCGGCTTAACAAAATAGCAATAAACTTATCCATAAAGCCGGTTCTACATTAATTGCAAGCCGATCGCAAGTTTGTTGCGACAACCAATCTTTTGTGATCAACTCTTCATATTGGCTGTCGCACAAACTTGCGATCGGCTTACAACTAATGGCTGCGTTCAGCAGAACATTTATTTTTTAACTGTTAGAAGTTTTCTTCGCGCTGATTGAGTTATGCTTTTAGATCAAGAGAAATGATCCAATCTCAGCAAAGTATAATAAAATGATTGCAAAACTGTTGTGTTCTGCTGAACCGGTTGAAATTTACCTTATTGCGAGGTTATAGATAAGTTTATTGTTATTTCTGTTAAATTATGTAGATCTAAAGCAATATTCTGATTGGCTTAAAGGACTCCACACAATAAAAGGAACAAGGAACAAAAAACAGAGAATAAGAAGTTTCAAAACTATCAAAAACTGGGTATTTCACAATACATGATTTTTGATAGGTTGAAATTAGGTGAGTTCGAGATGGCAAAGCGGCTAGGCATGCTTGCCGAGCGAATGAGCATAATTGGTTCTCACTTGGATTCAACCAATGTTGAATTGTTTAACGAACAGGGAGTCGATTTTAAACTTCAAGCAAAGTAAAAATTACAAAAGCGAGCAAATTGACTAAGTGTTGACCAATGAAATTATCAGGATTCTAGTAAATTCGTTCACTTTTATCTCATTTCAAAATACAAAATTGATCTCTAGACCTAGCTACTTTGTTGACTTGAACACGTCCATTCTTATTCTCTGTCCTTTTATTGTGCGAAGTCCCTAACAGTTCAAATACACTATTTGTAAAATAAAATTATTAAGACTGGTATTCATAGTCGAGTCTTATTTCAAGGACCATCTTAAGTAATGTCTTAAGATGTTAATGCAGCCTTCTGATTGGTTTGTAACTTCTTAAGATCGTACTTAGGACGAGGTCTTGAATATAAGATTCGACTATGAATACCGATCTAAAAGAGATAAATGTGTTAAACATAGATTTGTAAGATAGACGAAGCATTTATACGAGAGAAACTGAAGACAACATTAGCCTAGTTTCCATCGAGGGTTTAACCGGATCAGAATGTAAGAACTAACCAACTCGAGTATTCTTCTGTTGCAGTCGAACGACAGGGGAATGCTCGATTATAGTTGATTGATTCTTACATTCTGATCCAATTTAAACTCTCGGTAGAAACTAGCCCACTGACAGCACCGCAGTCAATACGATGGCAAAATTCTAATCCAGCTATACCGCTGGCTTAATGGCTACGTTCAGCAGAGAAAGCAATTTTGCAACTGTTGTAAAATTCTTCAACACAATTAGTTCTTACTTAAAAATCTAAACATATAAACTAATCATATTGAAGAATTTTACAATAGTTACAAAGTTGCTATCTCTATTGAACAGCCATTTGCCTTTATTGGCTTTAAAACGATCATATTCGCGATGATGCGCACGCATTTCTATCAATTCTAGCACCACTCTATATGTGATCCATGGCTGAATACACGTGCGTCTGAGTACCTTAATCCACAATTGTAAGTGTATATATGTTCTAAACAATTATCAGAGTGCCCATGTATGTAATGATTTTTTATGTGATCTTTGTGTATTCAAATTCTGTATTATTTTCAGATTACTTTTCCTAACTTTTTAATATCACACGAAATTATTTAAATTAAAATATATAACACTGATTTTATCCTTTTTGATGATTTTATTGACCTTTCTTAAGTTTGAATATTGCTGCCTTCTATTCTTTACTAATAAATTCACTCAGTTTACTTTCGCAAATCTTTATCATGTGTGAAGTATATTGTTCTACTTGATTATTTTCTTCAGACTATAGACAAACTACAAGATGGGCCTGACCAAACAGTATTTGAAATATGTATCAGCAGGTAATGCAAATATAATTGCGAGTCCTCGATGTAATGTTGTCTTTGTAAAGATGGATGGTCAAGAAGGTAGATTTATAGCTGCTGCTGCATGTGAACATGTATACATTTGGGATCTGCGACTTGGAGAAAAGGTAAATTGAAGGATGAAGGAACTTAATAGGTTTGATATTTTTATATTTTATGATTGATATTTTTATATTTTATGTTTAATATTTTTATATTCTGTGATTGTAATATTAATTTCAGGCACAAGTATTATCTGGAGAAAAGGTGTGCGTAACATGTCTGGCTGCATCACCTGATAAAAAACATATCGCAGTTGGTTATGCAGATGGGACAGTAAAAACCTTTGATTTAAATACTGGTGAAAATATTAGCATATTTGTGGGACATAAATCTGAAATAACAACCTTGGCATATGATGTATTAGGACATAGATTAGCCACTGGTTCCAAGGTTAGAATCTTTTACAGACACAACAAAATTATAAGTGCTTATATTTTTTCTTTATGCAACAGGATACAGATATTATTGTCTGGGATATTGTGGCAGAAACTGGAATATGCCGATTAAATGGACATAAAGGTGTTATAACCAAGTTGATATTCATGAAGGAGCATAATATTATTATTAGTGCAAGCAAAGATACATTTGTGAAGTTTTGGGATCTAGACACAGAACATAATTTTAAAACCCTTGTTGGACATAAATCAGAAGTAAGCTTAATTATGTTCTTGTTTGTTATTTACATTCTAAATAATTGTAGTACTGATTTAGTATTAATACAGGTGTGGAGTTTCGTCTTAATGAATGATGATCGTTATTTAATAACAGGATGTAATGATATGGAATTACGTGTTTGGAAAATAACATTTCTTGATGACAGGAATATTGAATTGGATAATGCTGTTGGTATAATAGATACCAATGAAGAAAATGAGGAAAGTGTGGATACAGATATGGTATACAATTTATATTATATTCAGTTCATGATGCAGTTCAGATCATTTGCTTTTTATGTAATAATTTTTTAAATAATACATATAATTATAAATCCATTGTATTTTTATAGAAATATCCTATAAAATGTGAAAAAGCTGGAAGCATATTAAGAACCACGAGAGGTCGAGTTGTTTCATTAGAAATTGACTCCACATGCAAAGTTCTCGGATGCCACGGAGTGGGAAATTCCATAGAATTATTTTATTTACTGTCTGAAGATACAGTAAAAGATAAATTTACAAAAAGATTGAAGAAAGAAAGACGAAAAGCTCAGAAGTCAGTTTTAGCAGAAAAGTAATTTTTTATTTATTCTTTAAAAAATTTAAATATATGTTTGAAACATATGTTTCTTGTGTTATACTAGAGAAGGAAATGCCGCAGAAAAAGAGCTACCTACTACACCATCTTTAAAGGATGAGATACAACGATTGCCTGTTATTCGAGTATCTGGCAAAACAAAAGGACTTGATTTAGTAATAGGCAGAGGAAATGAACTGAGAGTTAGTAGTAGCATAAGACAAATTTGTATTAAATCACTGAAAATTTGTATTATATTTTATTTTGCCTGTTCTGTGTAGGTGTGTGTTGGAATCAATAACAATTCGATTGAATTGCATTCTTTATTTATGAATGAAAAAAATCCGGAAGTAAAGCATTTGCGTTCAATAACGGCACATGGACATCGTACAGATATTCGAGCTATCTGTTTTAGCTCCGATAATTTGGCATTTGCTACCGCTAGCAGAGATTCTGTCAAATTATGGAATAGGTAAGGTATCTTATAAAATTATACATTTTAATAAATAAATATATCTTAGAGATTTGTTAACAAATATAATTTTTAGACCAACATTATCATCTTTACGCACAGTGCAGTGTGATTATGCATTGACGATAACATTCGTGCCAGGTGACAGGCATTTGATTGTTGGTTTAAAGGATGGAAAAATGCTTATTATTGATATTTCATCCGGTGATATCTTGGAAGAAATATTGGCACATTCCAAAGAACTTTCGAGCATAACATTATTTCCCGATTTGGTAATAGCTTTTAAGAAAAATATCCTAACAATCGTTATTAAAATGTAAGGCTTATTAATATATTTGTACAAATAGAAAGGAGTTGCCAGCGGTGGTGGTGATCAAACGGTGAAATTTTGGAATTTTGAACTTATTCAAGATCCTGATAATCAGATAAAAGCTAAAATTCTTTCTGTCTTACATGTAAGAACGCTTAAGCTCGAAGAAAGCGTACTGTGTGTAAGAATAAGTCCAAATAATAGATTTTTAGCTGTTTCTCTATTGAACTCTACCATTAAAATCTTTTTTTTGGATACATTTAAGGTATCACAGCTGTTTTGGAATACATTAGTTTGTATCTTAAATATTATCTTTTATTGTTTTATATTTTTATTATAGTTCTTTCTGTCGCTTTACGGACACGAGCTACCAGTACTATGCATGGATATATCTAGCGACTCCACACTCATAGCAACTGGTTCTCAAGATCGTAATATCAAGATCTGGGGTTTGGATTACGGCGATTGTCGCAGGTCCATATTCGCGCATGATGATTCTGTTACAGGTCTTTCATTCGTGCCTGGAACTCATTATTTCTTTACCTCTGGTAAAGATGGCAAAATTAAACAGTGGGACGCCGACATACATCAAAAAATCATCACATTACAGGTAGCGTATTTTATTAAATACTTAGCGTATCGATAGCTTAATTACAGTACTTCCATGATCTTTATAGGGTCATTTTGGAGAAAGTTGGAATTGTTGCGTTTCATCAAACGGGGCTTATGTTGTATCATGCGGTTCCGATAGAGTAGTTAGATTGTATGAGAAGACTCGCGAACCTTTAGTATTACAAGACATAGCAGAAGAAGAAAGAGAACAACAGGAAAATGAATTAATTACTGGGGAAAGTACTGCAGTATTAGGACAGAAACAACAAGCATTACCTTCTAAAAAGACTGTTAGCAGTGAGAAGGCTGTAAGATGAATTATTAAAAAATATATAATTTACAACATAGAAAGT